CATATATTTAAAATTCACAAATAAATAAGTAGACGTTTCGGTCAAGATTTGACTATCATCAGTACACACAAGATGACAAAAAATGAAGATCTTACAAAATAGGAACTAATTAACGCTAATTGAAAGGTGTTACAATAATATTAAATTAAAATTACATAAAAAATTACTTAAAAGAATTTATATAAAATTACAAACGCAATGTTCGCAAGTTAAAATGGTGAAATAATTTTTTCTCGCTTGTGGTATAAATTAACAGCGTGAATTGAAATCAAGTTGAATAATGTTTCAATCTTCTGATGTAATACTCTGTTACAATACCTGTTATCTTAAGAAGCGATGAGCAACTTCGTATAAAAATACGGAATTTCCAAGTTCTATTAAAAATAAAAAATTCTTTTACGCTAATACCAACGTTTCCAATATCATAAACAGTTCGCGGAAATTAATCTGAAAATTGTAATAAAACAAACTTACCACGTATCTTACACAAAAACTCACAAATAAGACCCGGAAAAAGTAAAGAACTTTTGGTATTAAAAATGATTTCCAACAATTATGAAGACCCGTCACAAGCGGGAGTCTATTTATATTATGCGAGGAAAGGAGAGCAAAAAAGAAAGTGGAGGGAGTAATACTAAGTGTGGGGAGAGGAACTATTTCCAATGGAAGGTAACCACTTATTGTTTATGTTGTTAAGTTTGTAAAATTAAAAATAAAATTCTCTGGACTGGCTTTGACCGCGATTGAACTATGCCTTCTAAGATCTTGCGTTGAGATTTATTCATTTTTATTGGAACAAAATCTTTATGTGTATTAAACGGTTTTGTAGTAGCAATACTGTACATAACATTTTTAATGTTCTTACGTTATTAGAATGAAATTTAGCAAATCTTAAATTATCAATCTTCTTATTTATGGTGAAATCTCTTTATCCCAATTTTTTATGAAATTGATTTCTTGACGCCGAAAAAACGCACAACAAATATTAAAAGGGAGCGACGAATTAATAGTTCTGTAATTATTAAAAAGTTCGTAATGTAGATGTGATAATTGTCTATACGCGTCATTCAATTCTATATTCCATGGGATCTCCTCTTTCTCCAATTTTAGCGGATGTGGTAATACAAGATTTGGAGTGTAATATTTTTAATAAAAGTTCTTACCATAAACGTATTAAATTTACTGTCGATTGTGGCGATAATAGGGGAATAAATTTTTTGGATGTTAAACTTTTGATTGAGGATGAAAGAATTATTTTTGACAATTACAAAAAGCCTACAACTTCTGGAAGATACCTAAACTTTTTTTCTAATCATTCTGTAGAACATAAAAGGGGTGTAATCGGGCTGTTAGACAGAATTTTATTCCTTTTCCATCCAAAATTCCATGAGAATATTATTTCTAACTCGGATTCCGCTAATATTGATAAAAAATTTTTTACCATTCCTTATTTCAAAAAAACTTCTGAGAAATTCAAATTTTTTACAAGTAAATTTGATTTTAATATAGCATATAAACCAATGAATAGTATGAACACTTTCATAAAAACTGGCAAAGACAAAATTAAAAAAGATTATTCAAATGTCTACAAAATTAATTGTAATTATTCTTATGTGGGTCAGACAAAAAGGAAGTTAAAGACGTGACTTAAAGAACACATTAAAAATTTAAATAAACCTACTAATTCTTTATCAGTTATTTCTTGTCATAAATTGGACTGTGATTGATGGGATAACTCTAGTATTCTTAATCTCGAACATTCTTATTATAAAAGGATGGTCTCCGAGATGATACATATAAAACGACAAGAAAATGGCTTAAATAAACATAGTGACACAGAACGCTTTCCTGAAATTTACCTTCCACTCATTGGAAATAGTCCTCTCCCCACACTTAGTATTACTTCCTCCTCTTTCTTTTCCTCTCCTTTCCTCGGATATAAATAGACTCCTTGTCTATATACTCGTTTGTAACGGGTCTTCATAATTGTCGGAAGTAATTTTTAATACAGTACCAAAAGTTCTTTACTTTTTCCGGGTCTTATTTGTGTAAGATACGTGGTAAGTTTTGTTTCATTACAATTTTCAGATTAATTTCCGCGAACTGTTTATGATATTGGAAACGTTGATATTAGCGTAAAATAATTTTTTGTTTTTAATGAAACTTGGAAATTCCGTATTTTTACACGAAGTTGCTCATCGCTTCTTAAGATAGCAGGTATTGTAACAGAGTATTACATCAGAAGATTGTAACATTATTCAACTCTCTTGATTTCAATTCACGCTGTTAATTTATACCACAAGCGAGAAAAAATTATTTCACCATTTTAACTTGCGAACATTGCGTTTGTAATTTTATATAAATTCTTTTAAGTAATTTTTTATGTAATTTTAATTTAATATTATTGTAACACCTTTCAATTAGCGTTAATTAGTTCCTATTTTGTAAGATCTTCATTTTTTGTCATCTTGTGTGTACTGATGATAGTCAAATCTTGACCGAAACGTCTACTTATTTATTTGTGAATTTTAAATATATGTGTATGACTTGCGTTAACATCTATTGTTGTGGCTGTTTGCTCTTTATTATTTAAATATTCATAATTTACCATAAATATTTTATGAAATTTTGATAATTTTAATCAAATATACAAGAACGGATTTGTGATATTAGTGAAATTTGTTAATTCTAATCCGGTTCTCATCCTAATAAGCGATCCGTGATATTTCCAGTTTGGATAGTTGTTGCTTATACAGATTTCAATTCTTGTTCATTATAAAATGTTGAAGAGAAATATATAAAATTCATCTCGAATGTTTATCCGCGAGCAAAATTGTGCGTCACGTAACTCATCAGGTATAAATAACCCTAAATACCCATTGCGTTATAATGGATTATTAATTCCAGCAATTAAATGTCGACGCATCGCGTTCTAATTAAATAAAGACATCGCGTTTGTTCGAGTATACTATAATAACAATGAAGCTAGGATAGAATAGAAATAGAACTCTTAACAACGATAATATTAACTGCGCGTTATCGCGCGTAAAGTATTATAGTATACGAGAGTTGAAAACGAAGGAAATATATGAAAAACAAAGTGATCCTTTGTCCGCCGATCACGAGACCGACTTGAGAGTTTTATAAAAGAAGAGGGAGTCCTCTTCTCCATTTTCATTACATCCTATCTATTTTATAAGCATGCCTCTCAACCTTTCATTATGCATCCTGTCGTTTTTACTGTAGTGTAGAATTATTATTGCAAACTGTACGTTGGAAGATAATGCCTGCGCGATGGTATTAAATGAAGATCGCAATTATGCAGACCAGGAAAATTGCTCTGGTCCTCTTCAGATGCATTAAAGGAGCGCATTAGGATGCCTTAGTTTCGTAATAGCATTAAATTTATCTTTAAGCAAACGGTACAAATTCACTCGTGCAAATTGTTAGACAATTTTAACGAAAGATTCCTATCCTACACACACACACACACACACACACACACACACACACACACATATATATATATATATAATTATTTGTATTCTTGGGGAGTTTGCAAGATCGACAATTAAATTTAATAGATTAAGAATTAGATGGTTTTATCGCGAATATTTTTTTGCACGATGGTGCAAAAAACAGTACTACTTACAGTACAATTACTAACAGTAATATAGAAATAAGCTTTATTTTAGAAGGATTATTTCCTTTTGTAAAATTACTTTTCAGGCGCAATAAAAAATTATTGTTATTCACAAACCACAAAAATTTCGCCGATTATTAAAATTAAAGAGGTCTCGTCTGTGTACCTTATATTCATTAAAAATTTCTAAAATTTCTTTCATTGTTAAAACATTCGCTAACGATATGCACTTATGATGTCAATGATTGATATATCGAATATTTCTCGATACATATAGATGTCGAAAACAACTATTCCTTTGATTGTGCGCACCTGGAGAGATAGTAGGATGATTATCAATCAGTGGAATGATATCAATAATGGTGTTGTTATCGCACGGTTTCAGATAACATAATCGGTCTATTTAGTCGATCTGCTGCAGTTCACAGCCCTTACTTCCGACGTTCGTAATTCGAACATTGCGTCGAAAAACGGCACGCACCATCAACACTCGCGGGATCCTTTAACTACGATAAGTGGCTGCGCACAATCAAAGGAATGAGAAACAGAGAATAAGAATTTCAACCTATCAGAAATCATGTACTGTGGAATACAGTGTTCCTGATAGATTGAAATGTTTCTTCTCTGTTCCCTACTCCCATTAGGTCCTTTTTGGCTGAACTTTTGCACCAGTTCATCTTTCTTCCTTTTCTCTCCAGGAGGAAAGAAGAGAAAGAAAGATGAAAAAAGTTCAGCTAAAAAGAACAGGCCTAATGGGCCTTTCGATTGTGCGCAGCTTCTAATCTTACTGAGATTGTTGATCTCAGGGACTAATCACGCACCAATGTCAGCATTCTCTCTTTTCTTTCTCTCTCTCTCTCTCTCTCTCTCTCTCTCTCTCTCTCTCTCTCTCTCTCTTTCTCTTTCTTTCTCCTACGACTATTTATATACAACGGTATGAGCGATCTCGATTGGTATGCGGCTGACACAAAAAGCACATCTCCGTCCAATTGTTCTCCAATTATATTGGAAAGATACTTTTCAAAAGCGATTAATAACCAGCTCGCGCGTTGTTCAACAACGTTTATTTCTGCTCAGTTTCATGGGAAATATCCTCGGGGAATATTCGTTAAACAACAATCTCGTATTATACATTGTTTTACACGAACACGGAGGAAAAAACTTGGTTGCGCTATGACTCGCTGTGTCGTTGGAAAGATAAAAGATATATCACAAAATCGCGAGTCGTCGTTATTCCGGCACACAAAATCAGCAGGACCCGGTCAGCCGCACTAGGTAAACCGCTCGACAAACTCGACGGAAATGAAAATGAACGTCTCGCACGGAGCGATGCCGTCGTTCGACATGTCTCATCGGTTCCTCCCTTAATTTGAGTAACGACTTCATCATCACCGCGATAGAATCGGAACGCGCTTCCGCGTACACCACGAGGTGTATTGTCATAGTTTAATCGTGCTAACATCTGACAGCAATTCGTCACTCCGTACTACAGGTATATGCAGAAACCACAGATATATACGCGCGTGCGCTTACCTGATGTAGTCACTCAGAGATCTTACAGTGGAAACGCATATGTAGCTTTCGCGTTTCCCCGACGGATCGCGTTACGCCAACTTACTTATATACTTGTCACAGCCGAAAGACAGGGATTAATTAACTGAAAATATACAATGATATTCCCCTATCGTAATGAAAACCGTAATTGGCGATTATTTCTTAACTAATAATAAATATTTATCGTTGCGTGTAGATAATGTCGTGTCCAAATTTCATATCTGTTACACTAAATTTTTATCGTATAACCGATAACCTTTAAAATTTTTCTCTCTAAAAA